CAACAACACAAAAAGCAACACTGAAACATGATGGTTATCTCAGAAAAAAAGTGATGCTTTTATTGTTGAAGTTGTGAATGGAATGAGCAACTTTTTTCATGAAACTGGTTTGTTGAAAGATTAACATAAACTATGGTTTTTAAGACACATATTGATGTTTTCTGAAAAATGAATGGAGACTGACATGTCAATGAAAATAACTAAGAGGATTTGTTGCCAGTAATACATTTTGAGATTTATTTTTTTAACGAGAATTTAGATCTGCTTCTACAAGCTTATCTACTTCCTGGCACTTCTCAAGGATTTCTTGTTGAAATTCTTGGTGGTAATAAGAAATATCCTTTTTGATATCACATGATGAAATATGTCAATATTTGGAAATCCTGCATAACTATGAATCAATAATTTTGAAATGATCACTGCACAATATAACACAATCACATGTGTAAAAAATTGACTCAAACTGCGAGATTGACTTAAAGTAACAGAGTACAAAAGGTCATGGACATAGTTTTAATGGCCCATAAATGTTAAAGAATCTCTATTATGATGTTAAGAATCCTCAAAGTGACTTCTTAAACAGACAATTTTTTCTAGTCTGTCTATATGTTAGCAAGGATTAACTTAGAGTCTTGGTCAAGTTTCATTCCTTGCCAAACTATTTACACAAACGGAATTTGCCACAGGAAGTCATATTTGATTACTACTTTGTTAGTTGCCATAGGAGCCAACCACCATAGGGTGTAGCAAGTTCCCCAAGCCAGCACATCTGGAGTTATTATGACAAGAATCCAGATATTCAGGTGTGCAAAACACTTCCTTGGTTGTGCCTGAGGCTAAAAGAACACAACAAGTAGTGAGAGGGAGGAAAAAATTTACACCTGATTTAATTTACTTAAAATATAAATTAACATCCTGCTTAATTGTAAAAAACATAACTTTTGCCACATTGCAATTGAGAGCTGTTGTATACAGTTTCTTAGCAGAAACTGAGTCTTTACTATGTGTGAATCCCCACAATGTAATTCCCGGGCTGTTCTACAAAATATTTGAACCAGGGATAATACAAATGAACTGGAAGACTAGTATTGGCCAGACTTTTAGGTGTTATGTGGAGACTGTGTTAGGACTGCCATTCTGAATGAACGTGGATGCCCTCCAAATAAGATTTCACTTTGTGTTCTGCTCATAGCCTTCTTCAGGGTCCACAGGGCCTCCTATTGCTTGAATTTCCCCCATTTCCTGTATCCCTTGACCTCACTCTCATTTGTCTTATGAATGACAAATGTCCTCTGTGTGTGTGTGTGTGTGTGTTTGTACACTCTAAGTAAGAACCTTTGTTGGTTTCATGCACAATGTGAATGTACTTAATCATTAATTATTATTATTAAATCATCATTATTTGCATCTGTGATTTGATAATTTCTTTAAAAAGTGAAAAGAATCCTGTTCCTGATACCCTTTTTGATTACTTTTTTTAATGTTGGATACTACTGATATATTAGAAGTCCTGTTAGCTATACTTTTCAAATTATTGCTAGAATTTGACTAATTCTTAGTCTACAACTAATATGGTCCAATCTAGTATGGTCCAGTCTAATATTCAGTATGCTGAATTACTGTATTGTCCTCCTAATGTGTCTTTCTATATATCCTCCTGGGCCTGTAAAAACTATACTTAATAGCTAGAAGGTCTTTAAGGCATGTCAAACATATTCCTCTTCTCAAAGTCCTCCAATGGCTTTTCAACTAACTCAGAGTAAAAACAATTTGCTTAAAAATCTCTAAGACTCTCACACCTCCCCATTTACTTCGTCTTCCTCACTTACTCACTTCATTTATTAAATTCCTCTGGGTCTTTGTGCTTGCTGCTTCATTCACAGAAAACGTTCTTGTGCCAGTATCCATTTGGTTTGGCTCTTGTTTCTTTTAGTTCTGCTTAACGTCACTTTGCATTAGAAGGAATTGCCCAGACTATAAACTAATTACCTTTTATTCAGACATGTTATGTAAGCCACAGAATGAGAAAGCATATTTGAAATCAGATTTTATTGATTTTTCTCTGCCTTTACTTAATTATATATTCTACTTTGGAAATTAATCACATCTCAACATGCACACATACTTAATTGACTCTTCACTTCTCCACTTAAGCTCCTGTGGCAATACACTATCAAATTCCCTTTCCCACACCGGTCAGGTAACCACTACATTTTTCACAGAGTCTAAGAGTTATTTCTATTGTGTTTTGCCAGTTTTTGTTCTTTAGTTATTTATATTCCACAACTGACTGATACCATATAGCTACTATCTTTCATTTTCTGACTTATTTCACTTCGCATAATAACTTCAAGTTCCACTCATTATTTCCCAAAAGGTACTATTTCTTCTTTTTTCAATAGCTGAGTTGTATTTCATTGAGTATATATGTGATGTGTATCACACAATATCTTTATCTAGTTGTCTGATGAAGAAAACAGTTTCACTATTTTCCAGTCGTCTCAAAGATGGTACAAGTTTAGGGCCTCCCAGGTGGGGCAGCGGTTGAGCACTGGGTTGCGAAGCTGCCGGCAGAGGGTCCCACATGGCACGCAGACCTCTCCTGCCGCCCGCTGCTCCCTTCAGCAGTGTATTTCAGTCAGTCTGCCTGTTCTGTTCCCCGCTCTGGCTCTGGTGAATTCTCTCACCCTCCCACGCTTCTGACTGTACCCAGTGCTTGTATCAATCAATCAATCAATCAATCTTTAAAAAAAAAAAAGATGGTACAGTTTTAGTATCATTTTAGATGCATAGGAGACAGGATATTTAATTATATACTATTGATGCCTTGGGCTTATTAAAATTTAATTCTCTCACTTTACAATGGTTGTCCAGATTCATCTATTTCCTCATTTCATTTCCTTTTTTGGTGTGGTATTGTATTACCAATTAAATGTGTGCATGTATATGAATATATATTTATCATATATTAATATACAATTGGATGTGTGTGTATATATCTACATATAATACATATCTATATGTTATAGACATGTATATGGTATATTTTTTTCTTTTTTTTGCTCGTGTATTTATAGTCTTGTTTTCCTCAATAAAATGTAAACTTCATAAGGCATTGACTTTGCCTGTTTGGCTTTATTTATTGGCTTTATTCACTGGCTTGAACATAGAGCTTTGAACATTGCTTGACAAGAACTGGGAGGTTAATAAATATTTTCATAATGATTACAAAATGAATTTCCATGTTTCTTATAAGCAGAATATAAATGTCCTGTGACAGCTAGGTCAATTGAAAAAGTCTGCATTTAGTAACCATTTCCACAACTTGTTTTTTATCTTAAATTCTGAACTGAAATTTTACCTAGGATCTCTAAAACTAGAATTCAGCCTAAGTTATCCAAATTACAAACTTCTTAAGATAGCTTTATTTGAACAACTCTAATCTTATAGTTTTGGCATTTTGTTTATACTATATTGCATCTCTTTATTTACATATGTTCCAGACAGTGGAGTCTCAGAATAAAGAGATCGTATTCGCAGTATCTTTGAAAAAGTTTGCTGCGGTACATGCTTGGTACTTAATAAAAACATTTTATACACTGAATAAATGAAGTGTATAAAAGCATAATGAGGGTTGAATAAAATTATGTTCTGTTTCAGTGGTCTCTAACTTGCAATTTAGAAAATGATTTAATAAAGAATTCCTCAGACATCTATGTGGTATGAAGAGAGTTCGACCTAAAGAGTTTCAGTATCTGAATCTTACTTTGAAATTCTGCATTTTGGCTGAGTCACTTAGAGCTCAAAGTCATAATTTCTACATGGAAATATTGCCAATTATATAAACTCCTCCCAAAAAAGTAAGAATAAGAGACTAAATATCATCTTGCTTATAATAAAGCTTTGACCTATGCTGTAAAACTATATTACTGCTATTTTAAATAATTTTTAAAAGTTTAAAATTATTGAACCTCATCAAACATATAAACAATCTGTACAATAAAGATATTTTACTCTCTCCCTGGTTAATGAGGTAATGAATATGCCTGACTCAAAATAGGCAATAAGTAAATGGTAGTAGTTATTGTTACATTTACTTGCTCTTTCAAATTTGAGACTAAAACCCTTTTTTTCCTATCAGTCCATTCCCTGGGAAGGATTCTGCTTTTAAAATATGTTCTTTTCATCTCAGAGAAACTGCCAGAATATTACAAAATCCCAAGTGCATCCTTTTTTATTAAAACTCACTTATTTGGGGCCTCCCTGGTGGTGCAAGAGGTTAAGAGGCAGAACTATGAAGCTATTTGCAGCCACTGCGGCATGAGTTTGATTCTGGCCAAGGAGGTGACCCACATGGCACAGCAGACCTCTCCTGTCTCGCCAGCTGCTTCCCTCAGCTGTGTCTTTCAGCAGCTCTGCTGTTCTCCTCCCCACTCTGTTTCTGGTGAATTCTCTCACCCCCCACATCTCAGGCCTGCACCCCAGCTCTTATATGCATAAATAAATAAACATTTTTTAAACAAACTCATTAATTTCCTATGTGATCCTTCATAACCCTCTTATACCACGAGGCCCACACATGGAATCCAGGATCCCCTTCTAAATACTCCACTTTTTTTTTCTATTCACTCTCCTTCAAAGTCACCTATGACTATTTTGTTGTTGTTTTCATTGTTTGGGGAGATGTTTTTATAGAACTAGTCATCAATTCAAGGGAAAAATTAAGACATTTAGCAGCATGTAGGCAACAGAAAAAAATGATGTTACTTTAATTTTCAGTTTCTCTAATATTTTAACAGACACAGGTTATTCAAACACAATAATTTAAGAGAGAAGACAAGATGCCACAGTATAAACTTACAGTACCCTTAGCACTCATAACTGTTACATAATACTACAAACAGCTCTAATGGAGCTCAAGTGGCTACAGTAGTCAAAGATTTCACATGCTGAGAGCATGAAGAACCCCCAAATGTTTAAGAAGTAGATTGTTTACTCACGAGGATATAACTCAAGGGATCTATCCATGCTTGCTGAGCTGGTGCTGTTGGGATGCTGGACAATGTGCTGCTCCACCTCATACTCAACAAATAATGCAAATAAAACAATCATAGTGATCTCCAGGCCAAGGGCCATTAGAGGGAATTTGAACCTCATGTTTGTGGTAATGGACAGAGGCACACTGAGGGCTTCACTGGCTGTGTGAAGGTTGATAAGAACAGAGGGACTGCTCTGTGGGGAATTAGGTTGCATATTCAAGGTACTCCAATAACATCACAAGAAAAAAAGTGGGCAATTCTGGTGAAAATGCCCCACCCATTGGGGAGAGTTGTACTCTGTAATTGAATTGTTCCTCAAAAGATTGGTTTAAAAATATATAATATGGATTTTTAAAATCCATACAATGAAAACTATAAGATATTTTTAAAAGAAATACAAGAAGAAATAGGGAAATGAAAAAATATTCCCTGCTCATGGAGTGGAAGAACAAACATTACTAAAAAAGTCATCCTACCCAAAGCAATATATAGATTCAATGCAATTCCTATCAAGTATCCAATGGCATTCTTCAAAGAAATTGAACAAAAATTACTGAAATTCCAGTAGAACAAGAAAAGATCTTGAATAGGCAAATTAATCCTGACAAAAATGAAGAAGAATCACAGTATTGTACTCCCAGACCTCAAACTATACTACAAAGTTATAGTAATCGAAACAATATGGTACTGGACAAAAAATGGACACATACAAATGGAATAGAATTTAGAGCCCAGAAATAAACCTGCAGATCTAGGGACAGTTAATCTATGATAAAGACTATTTACTGGAGGGCCTCCCCTGGTGGCGCAGGCAGTTGAGCACCACCACAGCCTCTGCAGCATCAGTTCGATCCCGGCTGGCCGGCAAGGTTCCCACATGGCGCAGCAGACCTCTCCTGCCTTGCCTGCTGCTCCCCTCAGCAGTGTATTTCGTCAGTCTGCCTGCTCTGTTCCCCACTCTGGCTCTGGTGAATCCTCTCACCCTCCCATGCATCTGGTCTGTACCCTGGTTCTTGTATAAATAAATAAATAAATCTTTTTTAAAAAAAAGAATATTCACTGGAGAAAGTAGAGTCTCTTCAATAAATCATTTTGAGACAACTGGACAACCATATGCAAAAGAATGAGACTAGATTACCATCTTACACCTTATACAAAAGTTACCTCAAACTGGAAGACATGGCTAGAAGATCAGAAAGTATAAAACATGTTGAAGAAAAAAAATGGATAAAATATTCCACAATATTGGTTGCAGAAACTTCTTTGGAGATTTGTCCACAATTGCAAGAGAAGCAAAAGCAAATAAAAACACCACTAAAAGCAACCGATAATTTACTTTCTGTCTACTGATTTCCCTATATTGAACTTTAATATGAGTGAAATCAAATAGTATGAAGTGTTTTGTGACTGGCTTCTCTTACATAGCATAATATTTTCAAGAGTCATCAATGTTCTAGCTTGTATCAGTACTTTATTCCTATAATGGCCAAAAAATTCTCCATTGTATGGCTTTATCATGTTTTGTTTACCCACTTGTCCATTGATAGACATTTTGATTATTTCCAGTTTTAGGTTATTATGAACAATGCTGCTGTGAACATTCATGTACAAATTTTTGTTATACATATTTTCATTTCTCTTGGGACTATACTGAAGAATGGAATTGCCAGGTAACATGGTTACTCTGATTTATCATTCAAAGGCATTACCGATTGTTGATCAATGTGGTTTGCACTATTATATCCCTACCAGCAGTTTATAAATGTTCTGATTTCTTCACAACCTCACCAACACTTGCTGTTATCTGACTTTTTGATGTAGAATTATAATGGGTGTGAAGTGGTTTCTCATTGTGACTTTAGCTTCATTTGCATTTCCCTGATGGTTAATGAAATTAACATCTTTTCTTATGATTTTGACCGTTTGTATGCCTTAGTTGAAGAAATGTCTACTCAGCTTCTTTGCTCATAAGGTAATTTTATTAAAGTATTGTTGGATTGCACCAATTTGTGTTCTCAACAATACTCTGTCACTAACTCATATGCCATGAAGTAAATCTCTTAAGCTGTCTTTGTCATTACTTTTGTCATCTTTAATGTGTCAATGAGGACTTTTGCTCATTTCAAACAATTGTGAAGACTAGGTGAGAGAATATATTTGAAAGTAATTAATAAATATTAAAGAGATGAGAAATCCAGGTTATTAAAGAACTAATAAGGTAACAGATGTGTGTTATTTTATAGTTTTTCAGAAAAAAATGGAAACCTCTTTTTAAATATAATAAATTATAAAAATGAAGCATACTGAGCCTCCCTGGTGGCACAGGCAGTTGAGCGCAGCTCTGTGAAGCTGTCCACAGCCTCTGCAGTGCAGTTCAATCCTGGCAGGCTGCAGAGATACCCACATGGCACATGGCAGATCTACCCACATGGTGGGCAGAACTCTCCTGTCTGCCCTCTGCTCCCCTCAGCAGTGTATTTCAGTCAATTCTGACTGTTCTGTTCCCCACTCTGTCTCTGGTGAATCCTTTCACCCTCCCACACATCTGGCCTGTACCCCAGTTCTTGTATAAATAAATAAATCTTAAAAAAATAAAAATGAAGCATTCTATTTAAATAATAAAGTCATAGATATGGCTATAGCCTATCATTATTAGGAAGTTTGAAACATTTTTATTGTGAGGATGTTCAGACGTATAGAAGAGTGGCAAAGGTAACAGAGAGGTCCTTATCACCTTCATTAGTTACTTCTAATGTCAACAGCTGGCATAATCATAGTACAATGATCAAAACCAGGATATCTAACACTGGTACAATGCAACTAATGAAACTCCAGACTTTTTCACTAGTGTCCTTTTCTGTTCCAGGCTTTCATCCAGAATCCCATAATTGCATTTAGTCATCATGATTTCCAGTGATATCCTATAATCTATGATGGATTCTCAGTCTTTTTTTCCCTTTCATGACTCACCTTTTTTTTTAAAGATTTATTTATTTATGCATACAAGAACTAGGGTACAGACCAAAGGTGTGGGGGGTGAGAGGATCCACCAGAGAAAGAATGGGGAACAGAACAGGCAGAATGACTGAAACACACTGCTGAGGGGAGCAGCAGGCAAGCCAGGAGAGGTCTGCTGCACCATGTCGGTAACTCCCTGGTGGGGGATCGAACTTGTGCTGCAGTGGCTCAGGATAGCTTCATAGGTTGCATCTTAACCCCTTGTGCCACTAGGGAGGCCCATGACACATTTTTGAGATACTGGCCAGGCACTTTGCAGAATTTCCCTCAATTTGTGTTTATCTGATGTTTTCACATGATAAACCTAGGGTTATAAATTTTAGGCCAAATATCACGAAGGTGAAATGCTCTTCTCATCCTATCATAGCAGGGAATGCAGGACATCTATATACCTTATTACTGGTAACACTAATTCTGGTTACAGGGTGACGAGGGCGAGAAGTTTAAATGTTTAAAAATATTTATCCCACACTGTCTTATCAAGAATGTTTTATATATTATATAGTCAATAAAAATTGACAGAAATGATTTATTGTCAATTATTTTGCCCTTAGGAACTACTTATTCATCTTTTTAAACCATAGACCAAGTAAAAGAAAACAGTGTAAAATTTAATCAGGAGAAACAAACATCTATCCACATATATTTCTATTTTGTGTCCTTAACAATATAAGGTCCTAAAACACAAATCCCTATTAACTTTGTTTTATATCTACAGTGTAGTTAGGAATACAGAGTCTTCTGATATTCTTTTGTAAGTGATGGTTGAGGCATTTCTGCCCAACGTTTAAAAACACACAATAAAACTAGCAAGCTTAGCTCAGAGCCTGGCAGATTTTCTGACTAAAAGAAGATCAAAGTATTTGGATCTAAATACATTTCAGAATGGATGTTTGCCACAGTTACCAGAAATAATTTTATAAGTGAGAGGAAGGTACAAAGAACGTCCAGGAAAGTACTACCTGTCTTCTTGGATGGTGTCTAGAGGTGTTCAGAATGGTTCACACCATTTTGACATGTGGTTGTAGGCTATCCTACAACACAGCGTCTGACCAAACTAAGCTGTCCCACCTCCTGTGAAAAGAACCATGTAACTTTATACCAAGCAGGTTGGGAAGGCACCAAAATCTGTGTCCAATGTGTGTCCAAGCTGAATTTGAGGAGTTCACGCTGTGAGACCTGAATTTCTTATAAGACTGTGACTGTCGGGCCTCCCAGTGGCGCAGCGGTTGAGTGCTGGGTTGCGAAGCTGCCTGCAGCCTCTGCAGCACTGGTTCGATTCCCGGCTGCTCCCCGGCCACCGGAGGAGGATCCCACATGGCGCGCAGACCTCCCCTGCCGCCCGCTGCTCCCCTCAGCATTGTACTTCGGCCCTTCTGCCTGCTCTGCTCCCCACTCTGGCTCTGGTGAATTCTCTCACCCTCCCGCACTTCTGACTGTACCCAGTGCATGTATAAACAAAACAAACAAACAAATAAAATAAATAAATAAAACATGCCTCTATTTAAAAGAAAAAAAAAAGTTTAAAAAAAAAAAAAGACTGTGACTGTCAAAGATGAGAAAGTACAGCTGCCAGACCTATGGTAGTTCCATGTGTGCTAAAGTGTCTGTGACAGGATTGAGTGTGCTTTTCTTCTTCAGAAGCAGAAAATTGTGGTAAAAGTGTAGAAGGCACAAGGAGTCAGAAAGCTAATTAAAAATGGAAACTTATGGGGTAAAAGAGATATTGAAGAGAAAAGTACCACCTGACCTCTTTCCAGACCTGAAGCCTCAAACCACTCCAAATTCACAACCCAGATGTACAACAAATATTTATCATGTAGCAATCATTTTAGAAATTGTCCTTGTATCACGCCACTTGGAATGTTCATACTCTTAATTATTTGCCTGGCCTTCCAAGTCATACCCTCTTCCTTCAACCCAAATATAGAGAACAGGGAACCTCACAAACTATGCAAATAAAAAAGTGTTACTTAACATCAACGTGAACAATGATCATAAGAAAAAAAGTTTTTGCTACAGTCTCTGTTATTTTGAATAAATATTTTTTAAAGTGAATAAAAAAAGATTATGTCCCAAACCTTTCTTCATAAATTCACTA